TGCCTCCTGTCTGCTCTAGTAACTGAAAATATGTGATTTTGGTTCAGACCAAATGAACAAAGCTGTGATAATGAGTCTTACAGAGGCTTTGGGGTGCACTGAGGCACTGACCCACAACAGTAACAGAGAGCTGTATTAGGATCCTTTCTGCACTATTTAATCATGGCCAGGCCAGCTGCTATCAGCTCTTCCATTGCCACCTCTTGCCAGGCTGTATGCACGTGACCTCTCCTGCAGTTTGAGTCAGGCATTAATTTGACAGGCCAAGAACACATCCAAGCCATTTACTTTGTTGCTTTCTGACATCGTAACGGGGGCCCTGCTGTCAGATCTTGAGCCAAACTGAGCTTTCAGCGAGAGTTTTGCCTGGGCAAAACAAATATCTGAACATATATTAGCTTCTCCATAGGTAAAATGGCAATACTTTTAGAAGTGTCCTAAGTAAAGCACTGGAAAACAAGCCACTCAGAATTGCACATTGCTGAAATGATGGCCCCAAATACTCATTCTAATAGAAAATATACCACATCCTTCCTGTGAAACCTGCCCTGGGAGACTGAAGTGCTGGAGTTAAACACCCAGTCCTGAATGAGAGCTGGCCTATGGATGATGCCCACAACCAGAATCTCCTGACTGGTTTTCACCCAGGGCCTGGCCAACCTTAGGTGGGAACTGATGAGGAGATCACCACCAGGTGCCCCCACCTTCCACATTAACTTGGAGGTGGGGCAAGAACCCACCTCTATAAGAACTGACTCTGCTTTCAGTGCAGCTGGGAGGTTTGCTCATACAGTGTGTGTGTTGTGTGGGGTTCTGGAAGGGCTCCCTGGCTCTCATAGCAACTGGAGCTCCCAGGATGGTGGGGCAAGATAATAAGTCTCTCTCCTGGCAGTTACTATAAGACTGGGATTGTACTGATCACCTGGGTCCTTCCTTCTCCCATGGCACAGTTCTGGAGTCAGCTCAGTCCCTTCTGCAGACCCTATGCTGTAAGTGAATGTGTTGACTTGTTCTCTCCAGTTGTCTGGCATGTTGGATTGTTGGTGTATGATTTAGGAGTGGAAGGAGGATTTTGGTTGCTGGTTTGCCTTTTGATGATAATATCCTTCCTAGTTGGGCAAGCAGTCAGCAGAAGAGTGACCCTGCTGGAGCAGACCAGGTGGTCTCCAGAGGTCCCTTCCAACCCCTGCCACCCTGTGATTCTGTGACCTTCTAGATACTTTTAGAGTATTAAATATGGAACATGTGGGACATATTAGAAGATGAACATCTGGAGACTGACTAGCAGACATTCCTATAGATTCCCTACTGTCAATACAAACAGAAATTCTTCCTGGGGTGACTGGGTCATTTGGTGAAGGCCACCTGCTCTCACCCCACCACCCTGGCCTCAGTGAGCTATGTCCTTGGGATTGACTAAATAAAAAAATCTGTGGAAATTGCAATCCCCAAGCCAAAGCAGGCCTTTGTACATAGCTCCCTTTTAATCCATACTGCTCCCCATTTCTTTTCTCATGCAACATGGATGTTTTTCCCCTCGAAAGCAGATCTAAGGTTGAACGGGTTCCAGTGAGGACAGCAGTAGTAGCAGCCAGAGTAAATTTCAGATTAACTTGTCTCATGGCAAGAAGAAGGAGGGGGAGGATGAGTTCTTTGTGGCTTAGGTGGGAACAGCGAATCTCTCCAGCCAGGACCACTGTCACTGTACTGCTGCAGAATAACTGACTGCTTGCCTTGCCCTTTGCACTGCTTTCTTCCTGCCATGCCCCCCCTGGCCGGGCCACACCAATATGTATGGCCCTACGGGGCCACGTTCTTCTGCAGGGTGATTTTGGAGGCACAAATTCAGTCTTACCTTGAGAGTAAGCGTGGCCATGGGCCGGGCACCGACAGCTGGACAGTAGGTACAAAACAAAGAGGCACAGTTAAAAGGAAAAAACAAGAGGCATGGTTAGAGGGAGAAGCCAAGGCAGAAACCCGAGTCTGCTGCTGCCTGCAAGTCTCTGGTACGTCCCCGTGGATCACACACCCCACCCCACCGGGGCCTGGTAGCCGAGCAGGAGCTGGCTGGGGGGC